GAACATGCAAGACAGTTGCGTAGGTACACACATGGCAGTGTGTTTTGCTTCCTTTCTCCCCTTCACCCACATTTGGCATTTCTCCCCAGAAAGCCAACTTTTAAAAGCCTATATGGCCGTTCACGATGCTCATTGCATTTTATGCAAGTAATCAGGCCAAGTATCATAAGCCCCAAATTGATTGTGCAACTATGCATCTGACAAGGGTCTAATATCCACAATCTACAAGGAACTGAAACAATTCAACAAGCAAAAAAACAAATAACCCAAATAAAACATGGGCAAAAGAAACAAACATTTCTCAAAAGAAGACATACAAATAACCAAAAGATATATGAAAAAACGCTCAATATCACCAATCATCAGAGAAATGCAAATAAAAACCACAAAGGAATATCATCTCATGTCAGTCAGAATGGCAATTACTAAAAAGTCAAAAAACAGATGCTGACGAGGCTGTGGAGAAAAGGGAACACTTATACACATTTGTGAGAATGTAAATTCATTCAGCAACTGTGGAAAGCAGTTTGGAGATTTCTCAAAGAACTTAAAATGGAACTACCATTTGACCCATCAATCTCATTACTAGGTATATACACAAAGCAAAATAAATCATTCTACTAAAAGACACACACATTTGTATGTTCATTGCAGCATCATTTACAATAGCAAAGACATAGAATCAACCTATGTGCCAATCAATGGTGGACTGGATAAAGAAAATGTGGTACGTATACACCATGGAATACTATACAGCCATAAAAAGGAATGGACTTACAATGTGGATGCAGCTGGAGGCCATTATCCTAAGCCAATTATTGAAGAAACAGAAAATCAAATACTACACATTCTCACTTATAAATGGGAGCTAAACATTGGGTACTCATGACACCAGAGGGAGGAAGAAAGGAGCAGGGAAGGAGTTGAAAAACTATTGGGTACTATACTCATAACCTGGGTGATGGAATCAATCACACCGCAAACTTCAGTGTCATGAAACATACTCATGTAACAAATGTGCACGTGCCTTCTGAATCTAAAAGTTGAAATTATAATTTTTAAAAATTTACAAATAAATTGGTCTTGCTGAGATTTATTTTCTGTAAAAATTGAGAAGAAAAAAAATTATGCATGAGAAGAAAACAACATATGTATCTGTTATTAGATTCTATCTTTGTACATTGTTTTTGATTTTTTTTTCCCTATAATTTGGAATAAAGCTTAAACTATTTCCTGCTTACAAGTCACTAAAGGACTGGGTTCTAATTTTCTTCATGATGTTTTTAATTGACTCTCCAATCAGTTTTTTCCTTTCATTCTGGCATACAAATTTTCCTTTTAACTATAATCCTTATGTACATTATGTTTCTATTATGTATGCTTTACCTCTGAGAAAATGGAATTCATAGCACACCAAAGACTAGAGATGATTCAACAAGTGACATCAGTTAGAGATAAATGACTTTGAGGACTACTCAGAAATGAGCTTTGCCAGTGACGACGAACACACTTAACACTTTCAAGATGAAAGGTTTTTAATCAAAAAGGGAGAAATAAGAACTTTTATCTGAAGAATGTGGATCTTTTTAAATTATCAGGCCCCTAGAGAGACATTAAAATGAGACAGCTGCCAGGTGTGGTGGCTCATGCCTGTAATCTGAGCATTTTGGGAGGCCAAAGTGGTTGGATCATCTGAGGTCAGGAGTTTGAGACCAGCCTGAACAACATGGAGAAACTCCATCTCCGCTAAAAATACAAAAAAATTTGTCGGGCATGGTGGTGCCTGCCTGTGTAGTCTCAGCTACTCAGGAAGCTGAGGCAGGAGAATCACTTGAACCTGGGAGGAAGAGGTTGTGGTGAGCCAAGATAGCGCCATTGCACTCCAGCCTGGGCAACATGACTGAAACTCCATCTCAAAAAAGAGAGACAACTATCAAATCCTACTTCCACCTTGAGCTATGTACTTACCTCTTGAAATTGCTAGATATTGCCACAAGTATTTACAAATTAACTTAATAATACACATCAGACACTATAACCCGCACCCTATATCTTAACGATAGCCAATCAATAATCAACATTACTTCTGAAAACCAATAGGAATTCTTGATAAAAAAAGCTTCGCATCAGCCCACTCACTGTCCTCCCTTTTGCCTTTAAAATCCTCTTCTAACTGCTACTAATTGCAATGGACAAGGCTAGAATCTAATAACAAGTGCACTATAGTTTTCTTTTGAAGCATAATTTTTTCCTCCAGTTCTCCATTTTTACCAAAAAATTAATCTCTGCTTATACTAATTTTACCAGTTTCTTCCTTTTAGGTAAACAGGATTATGCCACATGACCAAGTGGGATTTCCCCAAGGAATGCAAGGCTGACTCAACATACAAAAATAAATCAACACACTGTAACATGTTAACTGAATAAAGGGGAAAACACATGACAACCTCGATTGAAGTAGAAAAAGCTTTTGATAAAATACGACACCCTTTCAAGATGAAAACACTCAACAAAGTAGAAATTTAATGGCATTGCCTCAACATGGTTATGGGCAGCTATGAAAATCTCACAGATAACGTTATATACTCAATGGGGAAAGGCTGAAAAATCTCCTAAAATCAGAAACAAGACAAAGGTGTCTAGTTTAATCACTTCTATTCAATTTTATATTGGAAGTCCTAGTCAGAACAATTAGGCAATCAATCAATCAACATCATCCAAATTGTAAAGGAAGAGGCAAAACTACCTCCATTTGCAGAGGACAAATCTTACATACAGAAAATCCTAAAGAACTCACAAGAACTAATAAATTCATCAAAGTTGCAGAAAGCAAGATCGACATACAAAAAGTAATTGTATTTTGGCCAGGCATGGTGACTCACACCTGTAATCTCAGCACTTTTGGAGGCTGAGGCAGATGGATCACTTGAGTTCAGGAGTTCGAGACCAGCCTGGCCAACATGGCAAAACCCTGTCTCTACTAAAAATGCCAAAATTAGTGGGGTGTGATCGGGTGCCTGTAGTCCTAGCTACTTGCGAGGCTGAGGTACAAGAACTCCTTGAGCCCAGGAGGTGGAGGTTGAAGTGAGCCAAAATTATGCCACTGCACTTCAGCCTGGGCAACAGAGTGAGACCCTGTCTCAAAAAAACAAAAACAAAAACAAAAACAAAGCTATATTTCTAATCACTAGAAATGAACAATTGTAAAAGGAACTTAAGAAAACAATTCCATTTACAATCACATCAAAATGAAAAAAATACCTAGGAATAAACTAAAGAGATACAAGGCTTCTACACTAAAAACTATAAAACATTGCTTAAAAGAAAATAAAGAAGACCTAACTAAATGTAAAGGCATCCCATGCTCACAGACTGAAAGACCTAATATTGTTAAAATGGCAATATTCCCCAAAGTCGAGCAAGCCCCAACTTCCTTTTTATGCAGAAATGAATAAGTTGATCCTAAAATTCATATGGAATTACAAGGAACACTGAATAACCAGGCAATCTTGAAGAACAAAGTGGGAGGTCTCACACTTCCCAATTCCAACATGTTCTACAAAGTGACATTAATCAAAACAGTATGGTATTGACATAAGCACAGACGTATAAATCAATAGAATAAAGACTCCAGAAATAAACCCATACATCTATGATCAGTTGACTTTTGACAAGGGTGCCATGCTCATTCAATGGGGAAAAGTGGTGTCAAACAATTAGCCACATGCAAAACAATGTGGCTACGTATATCAATACAAAAATTAACTCAAAATTAATCAATGAGCCAAATGTAAGAGCCAAAACAATAAACACTTAGAAAAAATCATAGCAGCAAATCTTCATGATCTGGGTTTAGCAGTGCATTCTTAGATATAACACCAAAATAATATATCTATAAAATGAGTTTCGTCAAAATAAAAACACTTTTGAGCATCAAGGACACTATTAAGAAAATGAAAAGATAACCCACAGAATGAAATAAAGTATTAACAAATCGTATCTCTCTAAGGGCTTCATATCCGGAATATATAAAGCACCATTATAACTCAACAGCAAAAAGACAACCCAATTAAATAATGGGCAAAATGATCTAAACGGACATTTCCCCAAAGCAATTATACAAATGGCTAACAAGCACATGGAAAGATGCACATTGGTCGGGTGTGGTAGTTCAAGGCTGTAATCTCAGCACTTTGGGAGGCAGAGGTGGGCGGATCACCTGAGTTCAGGAGTTTGAGACCAGCCTGACCAACATGATGAAACCCCATCCCTACTAAAAATAGAAAAATTAGCCGGGCATGGTGGTGGGCACCTGTAGTCTCAGCTACTCAGGAGGCTGGGGCATGAGAATCATTTGAACCTGCGAAGTGGAGGTTGCAGTTAGCCAAACCAGCCTGGGCGTCAGAGCGAGACTTTATCAAAAAAAGAAAAGAAGAAGGAAAGAAGGAAGGAAGGAAAGAAAGAAGAGAGAGAGAGAGAGATACCAAAAAAAGGAAGGAAGAGAAATATCCAGAAAAGAAATGTCCAGAACCTATAAAGCCACAAACAAAAAAGTCGATTTGTAGTTGGGAGCTGGGAGAGGCAGGGCGAAGCGGGGAATGGGGTGTAACTGAATGAGTCCAGGGTTTATTTGGGGGGTGATGAAAACGGGATTAGATTGTGGTGGTGGTGGTGGTGGTGGTCGCACAACATCGTGAACATACTAAAAGCCACTGAACTGTAAACTTCGAAAGAGTAAAAATGGTGAAATTTATGTTATTTGAATTTTACCTCAATTTTCTAAAAACAAAAAAGAAGCCCGATGAAATGGATAAAATGTTATTTCTCCATTACTCATGAGATGCAGAGGTCCTGTCAGTTGCCTCAATTCAACTAGCACTGAAATTGACTACACGTCCCAAACCCTCTATCTAGCAAAAAAAAAAAGTTCAAATTCAACCCTAAGTCCCTATGAGTTTTCGTCTGTTGGAGGGACGCGCTTGGGCGCTCTGCGCACCGACTGAGGGCAGCGGGTAGGCGCCCCCCAGCCCGGCGTCCGGAGCAGCGGCCAGCGCAGGGTACACGGGTAGGACGAGGACAGGCCGGGTCTCCCAGGCACTCACTGCTCAGGCCTCGCAGCCGCCTGCGCCGCTGCGAGGCGCACGTCCACCGGGTTGGGGTTCCTCCTCCCAACGCCCCCCCTCGCCCTCCCCAAAAACCCGCCGCGCATACGCCAGTGGGCAGCTCTGTGGCCTGATCCTGCGCGGACCCGCCAGGGGCGGGCCAGGAGGCGGGGAGCCGGAGACGCGCGGGGGAAACCCGGATGGGAGCGTGGGGAGCTGGGAACGCGCGGAAGGGGCCCGGGGCGCGCGGAGTAGCCTGGAGCGCCGCCTCCGTGCCCCCACCGCCCCACCCCGCGCATGCTCCCGAGAGCCCCAGCCCACCCTTCTCAGGCTTCCCAAGTATTTCATCGCTTGCTTCTCCTGGCCCGCCGCTCAGTGCGCGCCCTCTAGGACAACAGAGGTAAGGGGTTAAGAGGAATTAGACACCGGCCTTGGCGGCAACATTCAGTAGAAAGCCAACTCAATAGTCAAAATAAAGACTTTTATGCAATCTTTTAAATTTTTTTTGAGACGGATTTTCACTCTTGTTTCCCAGGCTGGAGTGCAATGGCGCGATCTGCGCTCACCGCAACCTCTGCCTCCTGGGTTCAAGCGATTCTCCTGCCTCAGCGTCCCGAGTAGCTGGGATTACAGGCATGCACCACCACGCTTGGCTAATTATATATTTTTAGTAGGGACGGGGTTTCTCCATACTGGTTAGGCTGGTCTCGAATTCCCGACCTCAGGTGATCTGCCTGCCTCGGCCGCCCAAAGTGCTGGGATTTGAGTTGTGAGCCACCACGCCCTTAAATTTTTTGAATAAAATGTAAACATAAAAGTTCATGAGGAACTTTTTAAAATAAAATGTAAACATAAAAGTTCATAAGGAGCTATATTGGCGTCGACAGCAAAAGGAAAAATCAGTAATCCTAAACTGTCTTTAAAATTTTTATACACTTTGTATAAAAATTTTATACACATCTTTAAAAATTTTTTTAATGTTTTGGCATTGACTTTTATTTTAAATATTGCATTTAGATGTTTTAGTTTAATATTTATCATGACTACTGAGTGCGTCCCATAAATTTTATGCCATAGGTGAATACCCTAGTATGTACTTGCCTCACCGTGATACAGCTCTGCCTTGCTGTCATCTTCACTGTGGCGGTAGCAGGAGTCTAGGGAGGTGCAAGTAACCCCCTCCTTCGCAGGGTCTGATAGGGGTTAATAGGGAATTTCCAGAGGCTCAAGCACAGGGGCTTATAAGCCCCTCAGGCTTGTCCCAGTACAGTGTCTCAGGGGAGGGCAGAGAAAAGACATTTACACCAACTTTCTCAATACTGACCCCTGCATTACTAAAAAGTTTATTAATCTTTCTGTTGTCATGATTATAATAACAATTTCATAATTTTAACAATAATAAGAAACCTCAACAATATCTAATATTTAATATGCTACTTATTAATAATACTTATTATTGGAGGTTTGGGATAGTTAGTTCTCTGTGCCTCTGGTCTCAACAGAACTGATGGAACCAAGACGAGTTTTCTCAGTGCTACTTTACTGAGGACCTAGATGATGTGAACCAAAGCTTTATAAGGAAGACAGTTTGAGATGATTTGCAGACTTGTCCTGTTTCAACAGGATTCGCTGGAGCGAATTCCCATTATTGAGGTTTCTTATTTTGTTATTGTTAAGATAATGAAATTACTATTATAAAAATGACTTAATAGAAAGAAGATTAATAAACTTTCTAGTAATGCAGGAGTCAGAAATAAGATTTCTATTTAATCAGGCCTAAATTCTTAATTTACCATGGAAGCAAATAAATATCTGGCTTTCTTATTTCATATCTCTTTTAGTTGATGAGTATTTGGTTTTGCTTTTTTTCTCCTTGTTAACTTAAACACACACACACACACACACACAAACACACACACACGTTTATAAATTTAGAAAGGAGGAGATTTACTTGTAAGGGTTACAGCCTGCAAGGAATAATACTGCATCATGGGAAGCATGCTGTATTATTCCGTTTTCATTCTGCCTATAAAGACAATCTGAGACTGGACAATTTACAAAAGAAAGAAGTTTATTATATTTACAGTTCACGTGGCTGGGGAGGCCTCATAATCATGGTGGAAGGCAAGGAGAAACAAGTCACATGTTATGTGGATGGCAACAGGCAAAGAGAGAGCTTGTGCCAGGAAACTCCCATTTTTAAAACCATCATATCTCTTGAGACCCATTCCCTATCATAAGAACAGCACAGGAAAGACCCACCCCCATGATTCAGTCATCTCCCACCAAGTCCCTCCTACAACACATGGGAATTATGGGAGCTATAAGATGAGATTTGGGTGGGGACACGGAGCCAAACCATATCACATGCCTTGGCCAAGATCAGAGACAGGCACTTTGAAGGAGGAGGGTTGGGGTAGGAGCTTTATGCTGAACAGGTTGGCTAAATATACATATTCAACAGGTGATAGAAGAAGCTATGAATATTCATGAAAGTGGTCCTGATGCATGCATATTTAACAAACATGCATGTTACATCATCAACTCATCTTCAAATGTTTTACAATTCAGCTTGATACATCAAAAGGTCTTTTCAGGACATGAAGGCATGCAAGTGTGCACCCTCTGTAAGTCAGCCAGAACCATTCTATGGTTGGTAATCTTATCAGGAGACTTCAGTAACAATTGTGTTACTGAAATCAGTCTTTTGTCCAATCAAGTTGCAGTTATGGAACAAGGGGTCAGTTAGTCAGTATCTGTGTACTGGATGAGTTGTGATTGTTTTAATATTGCCTATCTTCAACCAGGCATGGTGGGTCACACCTTGTAATCCCAGCTACTTTGGGAGGCTGAGGCAGGTGGGTTACTCAGGTTAGGAGTTTGAGACCAGTCTGGCCAATGTGGCAAAACCCCATCTCTACTAAAAATACAACAACAAAATTAGCTGGGTGTGGTGGCACACACCTGTAATCCCAGCTACTCAGGAGGCTGAGGCGGGAGAATCTCTTGAACCCGGGAAGCAAGGTTGCAGTGAGCCGGGATTGCACCACTGCACTCCAGCCTGGGCAACAGAGAGGGACTCCATTTCAAAGCAAAACAAATTATGTGTTGTGTGTGTATGTATAGCCGTCTACCCTTTTTTTTTTTTTTTTTTTTTTGAGATGGAGTCTTGCTCTGTTGCCCAGACTGGAGTGCAGTGGCTTGATCTCAGCTCACTGCAACCTCTACCTCCTGGATTCAAGTGATTCTCCTGCCTCAGCCTCCAGAGTAGCTGGAATTACAGGTGCACACCACCACGGCCGGCTAATTTTTGAATTTTTAGTAGAGATGGAGTTTCACCACATTGGCCAGGCTTGTCTCAAACTCCTGACGTTAAGCGATCTACCCTCCTCGGCTCCCAAAGTGCTGGTATTACAGGTGTGAGCCACTGCGCCCCGCCATGTTGCCTGTCTTCATTAAGCAGGGCTAGGGGAAGGAAAAACAAAAATATTCTTTATCTTCAAGAAAGTGCTTGTTTAGCTACTAGAGAAAATGAAAAACTTTGTGGCAGTTGGAACATCGTTCTTTTCTTTAAGTGTAAGGGTGGGTGACTTAAGTCTGGCCTGGCATGGCCTTTGATCCTGTTTGTAATTTGTTATTGTATTGTCACAGAGAGTCTGTTCTGTCAGTCTTGTGATCTCTGTTTTAACATTAAGTCTGCTGAGTTGTGTCTAACCTCCATAATGGAGAGGATGTAATGAGGCATGTCTGACTTCCCATCCCGTCATGACTGGAAACTAAGTCTTTGAGGTTTTTCTGGGGTCCCCTTGGCCCAGAGGGGGTTCATGCAGCAGTTGGGGGATGTAGGATTTTATTTTTAGTTTATATTCACTAAAACAAAGGGCCAAACAGAGTCTCAATCTGTTGCATAGGTTGAACTGCAGTTGGTGCAATCTCGGCTCAGTGCAGCCTCTGCCTCCAGCGTTCCAGCGATTCTCCTGCCTTAGCTGCCCAGGTAGCTGGGATTACAGGCATCCACCACTATACCTGGCTAATTTTTTATTTTTAGTAGAGACAGGATTTCACCATGTTGACCAGGCTGGTCTCAAACTCCTGACCTCAGGTAATTTGCCCTCTTGGGCCTCCCAAAGTGCTGGGATTACAGGCATGAGCCACCATGCCAGGGCTATATCTCTGTATTTTCTAAACCAAATAAATGTTATGTAATAATAATGCTAACAACACACATAATGACCCAGAAACATTTCCATAAGCCTGGCGGCTCTGGGCATAAATTTCTAGGGGTGGTGAACTGAAGAAACAAAATTGTGTTACTGAAATCAGTTTTTCCCAACCACCAGCATCAGCATCTTCTCTCTCTCTCTCTCTCTCTCTCCCTCTCTCTCTCTCTCTCTCTCTCCCCCCTCTCTCCCCCTCTAGCTCTCTCTCTCAATAAGTGTTCACTTATGTGGCTACTCTGTGCCAAGCACTGTTTCTAAATACGTAATGTACAATTTCTCATATCATTGGTACTGATTTTGACACTACTCATCCACCATTTTTATTGTGATGTGACCATTTCCTACAAAACGCCTTATATAGCTTCTAGTCAAAATACCACAAAGCACCACTTAAGCAGTTCTGCCTCTTGACCTGTCTTCCAGGCTCTGCTCTCACTCATCTGTCTCTATGGGCAGAAGACCCCTCTTCCTAAATGCTTATTCTCTTGGAGCATGTAATTTCTTTCCTAGGAATAATCTTTTTTTTTTTTTTTAGATGGAGTCTCACTCTGTTGCCAGGCTGGAGGGCAGTGACAGGATCTCTGCTCACTGCAACCCCCAGTTTCAAGCGATTCTTCTGTCTCAGCCTCCCGAGTAGCTGGGACTACAGGCATGCACCACCATGCCCAGCTAATGTTTGTATTTTTAGTGGAGACGGAGTTTCACCATGTTGACCAGGATGGTCTTGATCTCTTGACCCCATGATCTGCCTCAGCCTCCCAAAGTGCTGGGATTACAAGCATGAGCTACCGCACCCAGCCAGGAATCACCATTCTTATTTGCCTGACTCCAAGAATCATTCTCAGTTTTATCTCCTGATGCTCCTAGACCTCAGCACCTTATTCCAGCTCAGCAGATCTGGCAACTCACTGTTCCAGAGCTGTTCAACATGCCTTCCACCCCAGAGCTTCGCTTGGCCTGAATGCCCTCTTTCTCTCGTGCTGCCAAAGTAGCTTAATGATTAGGAATATAATTCTGAAGTCCACCCAAGGGCAAAACCAACTCCTCTGCTGATTTGCTGCATGATCTATAACTAAATTCCTTCCCTTCTTAGAGCCTCCAATGGACAGTAAAACTAATAACAACACCTCCCTACCTTAGATGTTGTTGTATAATTAAATGAGATAATGTACATAAAGTGCATGGTGCGGTATCTGGTACATAGTGAAGATCAATAACCTGTTGATGTGATCATTGCTGTCAACGCTGTTATTATTTTAGAACTTGGTTTCTCTCCACTTCTTCATGAAGCCCTTATCTAACCACTCCAGGTCAAGATAGTCTCTCTTTTCTTTGAATTAACTTATTTTTCCTATCACTGGTTGATGGCTAGAATTTATTGCCTTAAGCTTTACATCATTCCCTTCTTATTTTATTTCCCCAATTTCAGGTTAAAAAAAACTCCTTGAAAGGCCGGGCGCGGTGGCTCAAGCCTGTAATCCCAGCACTTTGGGAGGCCGAGGCGGGTGGATCACGAGGTCAACAGATCGAGACCATCCTGGTCAACATGGTGAAACCCCGTCTCTACTAAAAACACAAAAACTTAGCTGGGCACGGTGGCGAGTGCCTGTAATCCCAACTACTCGGGAGGCTGAGGCAGGAGAATTGCCTGAATCCAGGAGGCGGAGGTTGCGGTGAGCCGAGATCGCGCTATTGCACTCCAGCCTGGGTAACAAGAGCGAAACTCCGTCTCAAAAAAAACCTCCTTGAAGAAAAGATCCTGCATTTTGGCTTTTTGTGAGATGGAAATCACTACACCTTGCCCTGCACACTTCTCCCCTTTACAGGCGAAGGTTAGGTTAGTTAGCCTGTGAGAAAATTGTGCATCCTTAACAATCAAATGCCAGCCATCTGGGGTACAGGTGGGAGGAAGACTAGGGTAAGAGGCTCCAGATAGGAATAGAATTAAAAGAAAAAATAAATAAAATAAGCCTCTGTATCCTTTTATCTCTTAGCAGTAGGCAATAATTTAAGAAATAAAGGAGCCCCGTTACCGTTTGCCCTGTCCATTCTTTCCCAGGCACCGTGACCTAGACAGCAGCAAAAAGCGAGTTAGTGGGGAGGGGTTAGGTATGAATCAAAAGTCAAGGAATGTGGTTATAGTTGATTACAGGAACTGAGAAAGTGGACCGAACTGACTCCCAGCCCGCCACCTCGATGCCCATCTTGGGGAATCCGTTGCTGGAAGGGACCTATCTCGCCCACCCTTAGGGGTCGGGGTGGGCGAAGTGGGAGAAGGCTGGCGGGCGGGGCGGGGTGGGGTTGCTCCGCCCCCGGAGGCTGGGCGGTGACCAGCAGGCGGCTCTGCAGCGCAGCGGGCGCGCTCACAGAGGGCGCAGCCGAGGGTCGGTGGATCGCAGTGCGGAGACTGAGGTTGGAACGCAGGTGGCGAGATGAGCCGGGTACCAGCGTTTCTGAGCGCGGCCGAGGTGGAGGAGCACCTCCGCAGCTCCAGCCTCCTCATCCCGCCTCTAGAGACGGCCCTGGCCAACTTCTCCAGCGGCCCTGAAGGAGGGGTCATGCAGCCCGTGCGCACCGTGGTGCCGGTGACCAAGCACAGGGGGTGAGTAAGGAGGGTCGGGGCCCGCGGCAGGAGCAACTGGAAAGCGGGAAGAGGAGCAGAAAGAGGAGCGATGAGAGTAGGGAAGAGACGGCTTGCCTAGTCGTTGCTAACAGCTGCCACTTTTAATAGGCGCTACCTGGTGTGCCAAGTGGGTGCTTTACAGGTGTTACCTTGTTTA